ACCTCCATGTTTTTTCTTTCTCTGTGGCGGTTAGAGTGTGACTGTATTGAGACTTGTTGAGACAAAGTGAGACAGAGTGAAGTCCTGAAATAAACAGTGTGAACATCAGTAATGCTTTAATTTCCATGTTTCATGGTTATGCAAGCCCACTGCTTTGGAATTTCAACATAACCTTGAACCATCACCAACTTTAATTTTCCTCACACTTCAACCAGTAGTAATTGGGCCCTCCCTGCTGCTGCTGCTCCTGGCATTTTTGTTATTGCCTTTCCTTTGCTTCCACTAACTTTGTTTAATTCTTCTTGGCAGCTGCAATAGCTGGATGCCAAACCCCTGTGCTTGTCACATCAGAGCCATGCCTCCCACTCTTGCAGCACGGCAGGCCGAACTAGGCCTCTGACTTTTGTAGCAAGCAGCCTTGGCAAGATTTCTGGGCTTCATGAAGAGCTTTTCTCTTAAACTGACACTGAGGTCAGGGGCTTTAGGATAAGGTACAACTGCATACAAATCCTGGTTTGTCTTCCTGTTATTAGAGCAACATTGGACAAGTTATCAATACTTGATCTATGAGAGCCTCAGCTTCCTCTTTTTTAAAATGAAGATAAAAATAGTATTTGCCTCAAAGAGTCATTTGAAATTAAACTGATTGGCCTAGGTAATATGTGCTTGGACTGTAGGATGCACTCACTCAATATTCGCTACTGCCATTTCCATTTCCTGTGGTAAGCCAGCTGCCCCCTGCAATTTGCCTCTTGCTGCAGTTCTTGGACATCATGAAGAGATACTTGTGGAGGATCTAGAAGGTTCTAAGGATGTTCTAAATTCAATGCTGTCCTTTATTCCCATACACATGGTGTGGCCTAGGGCTACATTAACAAAGTATCATGAGCTGGGTGGCTTACAACAACAGAAATCTAATCTTGTAGTCCTGGAGATTAGAAACCCCAAATCAAGGTGTTGGCAAAGACATGCTCCCTTTGAACACACAGCGGAGAATCCTTCTTTGCCTCTCCCTAGCTTCTGTTGTTTTTTTTTTTTTGGAAATCCTTGATAATCTTTACGTGGTACTGGCATCGCTCTAGTATCTGCCTCTATTGCCACATGGTCAACTTCTCCCTGTGTGTCTGTGTCTTTGCATGGCTTTCTCCTCTCTTATAAAGACAACGGTCTCTTTTTTTTTTTTTGGAGAGATTTTCACTGTAGGGCGCGTGCGCTCGCCAGACAGACAAAGAGAGACATAGAGACAGAAAGCGAGAAATCACCCCCCAGGGGGGATGGTCACACCGCAATCCCTTCTCCTCCATTCTCCTCTCGGGATCTTGGGCACGCACGCACACGCCCCCGGCGTGAGTTTTAAGCCACCAGGTCCGGGACACGAACTGCGGTCGACCACGTGGGAGTCCAGCGACATAGCCATTACGCTAACTGCTGGTTCCGGACAACGGTCTCTTTCTTCTCCTTATAAGGACAGCATCATCTTTGATTAAAGGCCACGCTATTCCCGCGTGACCTCATCTAAACTAATTACACCTGCAATGTCCTTATTTTCATTAAGGTCACATTCTGAAGTTCTGGGATTTAGGGCTTCACCATATCTTTTGGATGGACACAGCTCAGTCTATAATATTGGGCTCTTTTTGGTTTTGCCAGTGTAGGTTTTCTTTTGCTTCTGCTCCTGGTAAGTGGGTCATTGTCAGGATCTGGAAGTGAGAGTTGTCTGGGGTGGACTTTTGATGGCTCCATTAGGGAGCACTGTGAGAGTGATTGGTTGGGACTAGAACAGTTCTCACACATGGGTAGACATTGGAATTGACTGGTGAGTTTCAGAAATGATGACGTCCTGTGTCCCACCCAGTGATTCAGGTTTAATTGGTCTGAGGTGAAGCCTAGGCATTAGGGCTGTTAAAAGCTCCCGAGGTGACTGTAATGTTCAGGCATGTCTGAGAACTGCTGGAGTAGAAGAACTCAAACCAAGTGGTGGCAGCTTTTCCACTTGATTTAAAAAATCCTGACTGAAAGAATAAGGCCTGGAAGGCCTATATTTGCTTATTCAAAATCCTTGGAACCAGACATGTAGGAGAGTTCATGTTTGGGAATTTTTTTTAATTTAAAAAGTAATACAGAGCATAAATAATATGTAGCATAAAATTCCTCCTGGGATATGGAAAATACTCCTTAATCAAACCATATTTTTGATATCAAACATGTAAAACATTTACATTATGAAGAGGCCTGTGTTAGTTCAGAATAGGTTTTTAACATAAAATAAGAGTTCGTTCTGAATTTAGAAAAAAATAGTTTTCAGTTCTTTAATATAGATTCTGATATTTGGGATAAGGAATTGTGAATGTAATGATAAAATTTGATGTTATAGAACTCAACTATTACATATCAATAGTATATTTTGACTGATGTACTCTTGGGTGGTATGAAAAAGAGTTTTGCCGTATGATCAGAAAGGGGAGCCCTACTCTCCCGGTTATTTATGCTTGGGTGGTATGAAAAAGAGTTTTGCCGTATGATCAGAAAGGGGAGCCCTACTCTCCCGGTTATTTATGCCAGAACTTACTTCCAAAGCTATTTCTACCTCTGCAGAGTTATCTTAGTTATTTACAAACTTACTGCCAAAGCAACAAAGAAATTTCAGGTGTTTATTTCTGGCTGCTGCCTCATGTGGAATCTGTTCTAGATTGAGTAGTGTTGCCCCCAAATTCATGTCATTCCTCAAACCTAATTGGAAATACGTTGTTGCTGGTGTAATTCAAGTTTAGATGAGATCGTACTAGAGTAAGATGGCCCCTTAATGCAATATAATCAAAGTCATTAGAAAAGAAGGCAGGCCCATGGTGTGGTGGTTAAGGCAGCTGGATCCTACATGGCCGACCACGCAGTTCGAGTACCACTGGTCCTGGTGACTTGAAAATGCACGAGGTACATGTGCATCCATGCTCAAAATTCCTAAAGGAAGAAGAAATGTAGGAGAAGGGATTGGGGAGTGAGCATTCCCCCTAGAGAAGCTCTTTCTTGCCCCCCTCATCTCTCTGTCTCTCTTCAGTGAGTGCACATACCCACTGGCAAGTTAAAAAAACAAAAGAAGAAGAAGAGAAAGAGGAGGGAAGACAATGCAGAGAGACACAGAAATCACCATTTAATGACAGAGGCAGAGACTGGAGTTACACCACTGTCAGCCAAGAAAGGCCCAGTGCTGTTGGTAACACCAGAAGGTAAGAGGAAAGCATGGAACAGATTCTCCCTGAGAGCCTTCCAGGAGAGAGTGACTCTGCTCTCTTAGATTTCAGATGTCAGTCCTGCAGAAACTCTGAGAGAATAAATTTCTGTTGTTTTGAGCCACCAAGTAATTTGTTACAGCAGCCCTAAGAAACTAATACAGAACCCTAAGGATAGTACTCTTGAGAAAAAGAGAACTTCTCTTGTGCTTTGTTTTGTAAGACCTGTCCTCACAATTATTATTTGATAAGCTACACGGTAAAGGTGGTTTCACTGATCATAATGCAACTCTTGTGTGTGTGTGTGTGTGTGTGTGTATACAAAAGGACTTCAAAAAATTCACAAAATGATGGAATTAAAGCACAAGTGTATTGTTTATTCCAAACAATTGAAATCCATGCATAGTTTTTTTATAACACGCATTTTTATGAACTTTTTGAAGAGCCCCTCGTGTATATCTTTGTGGGGTGGGAGAAGAGAAAGTATCTATCTATTCCTCTAGAAAGGGAAAAAAGGCATAGAACACTTGATATTTATTTCTTTTCTTTAAAGGAATTAAAGGAAAGTATTTTCCTTAGTCTTTGGTGTTCAACTGGAATGGAACCAGAAAGAAGATCAGAAAAAATGTTCATATAATCCAAGACATTAATTTACTTCATAGATAATTACTGAACTGACCGCAATGGACAAGTCCCAGGGAGAAATGATTGTCAATGTATAATGTATAAGAAGGGGACTATATAAATAAACCAGAGAAGAAAGCAGTTTCTCCCCTGGGTTCATGATTACATATCTCAGGAAAGTTGGACCAGTAAAGTGACTAATAGAAAGAGGGATGGAAAAAGAAGAAAGAGAAATCTGGCAATTCTTTTATTTTAAGAGACATAAGCCAGAGCTATGTTCATGGACCTTCCTGTCTCCCTCAGTCCTTGCCTCCCCCCAGCACAGTCCCACCTCACTTCACCTTATAGAACTCCCATAGCAGCACCCAGAGGTCACAGAATTTCTGCAACCCCCCACACAGCCTTCCAAGGGACAGAAGAGTAACCTAGGCATGGAACAGGGACATAGTATGGGAGGAGGCTTTTTTGTATCAGGTAAGAGATGACTTCTAGGAGCAAGTCACCCTGAGAAATGGTAACTTTATTTTCACCTTGGAGGAACTCTCTGTCCCTTTTAAAATAAGACTATTTGCATAAAAGGTAACTGAAGAATGAATGCCTGTGCAGAAGCATAGTGCCATGCATTTCAACTGTACTTTGCAGCTTTGCAAGCATTTCTCGTGTCACTGAATCTTGATGCTGATAAAAAGGGTCAAGTCAGTATTATTAAAATCCTTTTAGTATATGAGGAAGGCAGATGACTTGCCATAGTTGTAAATAACAGAGGCCAGGCTTGGAACCAGGTCTCATGACTCTAGGCCCAAGGCTTTAATAGCTCCACATGTGACAGCATAGTGTTCTGCGACAGAGTGAGTTCTGTACCTAGCATATGACAGGTAGAACTTTGGAATCAGACACACATAGTTTTGCAAAAATAGCTCAGTCTGTTAACTACCTGGGTGACTTGGAGTAAGCTTTTTATTTTTTTTTCGGCCTCTGTTTTCTCAGCTGCTTAAGTGAAGTCTCTCCTAACTACCCCAAGATGTTAGTGTTGATTAATGATATAGTCACAAAGCTTGAGGAATGGAAGATAGGTACTAATAATTGAAAAATATTACAAGAACTCTTTTTAAGTTTATTTATTTCTTCCATGACAGAGAGACACAAAGCGATCAAGAGAGAGACAGACATCCCCAAAAAGGTCTTTGCTCTGCAATCTATCCTATCTCACCTGACCAGAGTGATGGGCACAAACATGAGTGCCTGACATGCTCAGAAAGATCCAAGATGCAAAGCCAGGACCTTTCAAAGGTAGGTCTGATTGTGTTGTCTTTGTACCACCACCTGGCTCCACAAAACTTTTTAGAGACATTGGATGTATACAAAATAGTGACATGGTTTCACTACCAGCTGGATACACCGAGGCTGGGACAGAAGGCCCCCTGTTCTTCCTTCTCTAGCAACTGTTACCAGATTTTTACTTTTATCTTGACCCCCCAAATTTTACTTCTGCCTACTTCTGCTTTACCATCCAGCTTGGAGCAGGGAGGGAGGATGGAATAAAGGATGAAGGAAGAGGCACCTCTGTGGGGCTATTGAATTGTTGTCATCACAACCATTGTTATCATGTACAGATGATGAATTGAAAACAGTTCTTCCAGCAGAGTCAGGCTGGAGACCCACAACGTCTAGATAACTTGTAACCAATAACTCTAAAACTGAAGGCTTGACTTTTGTTGTTTTGATGAAAGTTACTCTCTAAGTCATGGATTTGTAACTTGTAGGATTTATATCTCCTTTGTAGGAAATTATAAATAACCATAGTCATGAAAAACGATTTCTTGAAACATTAATTGCAAAGGAGAAATACTGCCCAGGGAAAGGAAGTGATCTACTCAAATAACAGGCATCTTCCTGGCCTAATTGATAAAATTATTAACCTTCTGTTTCAGGAAGTGGGTTACCTATCTCCAGGAGGTAGAGAAAAAGCATTCCATGGATACTTTCAAGAAGGTAAACTCCATTTATGTGAAAACAAAATTAATTATCAGGGGATTTCCAAGGGCAGTTAACCTGACTCAGTCCAGGCTGGGAAAATAACAAGTGGAAACAGTGACAGAGAAAAAAGATAAAACATTCAGATACTATATAGTTTATGAACATGCAGGGGGAAAAAGTGATTTAGGATAATCTGCCACAGTTTCTGTTTCTTTCTCTTTCTTTCTTTTTTTTTTCTTCTTCCTGATAGCTAAAGACAGACACTTAGCAGAGACTTATTTGTTTTTCCTTCCTAGGGTGAGGTAACCAGAGCAGCTGAAATTATGGTTTTATGGAGGAGAGGGGGAAGGTAAGAAGGAGAGTCATTTTTATTATTTGTCAGCAGAATGAGGCTTAAAAGGGATACAATTTCTAAACTGGACACTGCTTTGAGAGGAAGATAAACTGGGAGGAAATAATTCTGAGAGAGACACA